TTGGATTTCAAGTCACGATCGTGCATACTGATGTTCCGAACGGTACGTGTTATAACCTGGGCGAATCTAGCTAGATTGTTTCTGCACGTTTCAGTTACCAGAGCAATTGAGTTGTTTTGTCTTCAAGACCGAATGTACTTGGTTTTGGTAATTTTGGCTCCTGCCGCAGCGTGCTCAAGCAGAATTTCTGTGAAATGTGTTATGCTTGCATTGTATCTCACAACTTTGAGTGGTTGGTCGGACGATTGTCTCAATAGGGCTTCACTGTCCCAGAGGACTCGATGTTAACCAAACCATGAATTTGGAATCTGACCGAATGTTTCAGTAAAAATTGGTAGAACTTTTGTAATTCAGGTTCGAACTGTTTAACTTGTGATACAGAACGTAACCGGTTTGCTTCAGCTGTACAAAGAAAGCATTATCTTTTCTCATTTTTGCGGTAACTTGTGTGATCCATGTAGTTGCGTACACACCAAGCCCCATTACCGATTTTTTCGTCTCCCGTCCATCGATCTCCACAACAATATGTTTTCTAACTGTTCCATACATGCACCTTTTTTGCAGAATAAACTGATGCATTTCCCTGTGTGGATCGATCTGAAGGGACAAGACAGCGTACCTGAAACTGTTCATCATGTGGTAAGTTCTGTTGCATTTTTGCACAATTCTTGTTCCGTTTGTAAACTCCTGGTGCCCACAGCTTCCAAGCCAATGGTATAGACCCTGTTCTTTTAAATCTAAAAACCTTTTTTTTGCGGAATGCTGTCGATTGAAACCCTATCTTCTCGCTCGCCACTCTTTTGTAGTGTTTACTCAGAGGAATTTGGCGGTACTATAAGCAGTCTCATGGGCTAATAAGTCGTGCGCGCTTGGGTTCCCGCGACAACCTGCACGAGGCCACATATACCTTACGGACGTGCTGTGACGTCCTGGTTACATCTCTCCCCTAACTCCGATGGCACGTGCCAGTATTCAACAGTATCATTTTCCCGTGTTTCAAACCTTTTCTTTGTTTTCCTTCATTTGTTGTTTGTTCTTCCCGCTCCTTGTTTCCTGAGGGAATCAATGGGCATCAACTTTTTTAATCTCCTTATGTCAATCAATCTTTTTTGTATAGTATACTTTGATTCACAACCCATAGGTCCCTTGCTTATATCCTCCATTTACACTGTCTCTCCCTACTTCACGACAGGTTTGTCACGTGGATCCCTACAAGGATGAGTCATGGAAAGAGAAGATGGGCCAACCACAAGGCCATATTCAAACTGACGGTGTACACCTGAAAGATCGGTGTCATCCTGGCGATCCGTCAGCTGGTTAGTACCCTACATTTGCCGTGATTGATCATTCTGCCTTATAGAGACCCTATCTGAGGCGGTGAAGTTACTGAAGGGCGACTACGTCGTACGGGCGATAAAGCAGCAAAAGATGGATCGAGCTTTGATCTTTTGTCGTACGAAGCTGGACTGCGACAACTTGGAACAGTACTTTGTCTCACTGGGTGGAGGTAAGAAGTTTTGATTGGGTTTTGGTGGCGCGTGATCCAGGGTACATGTGTTAAACCGGCTTCCGTCTGCTTCTGGGGCTGCTTCGTAGGGTCTTATTGTATTAGTTAGCCTTTGAACGATTGGATGCCGATTGCCAGGGGCAATACTGTCAGCGTTTGCTTTCACGTGGCATGAGCACACCGATAATTAATGTTCTGACAAGTATTCGACACCATCTGAGGTCACTCGGGACCCCAAAATCATGTTTATACGCCTTGATTCACGGGGTTGCTGATGTAGCGAATTTCCATATCCACCACCCGACAGCTGCAGCATTTCCTTGCAGAGTGAAGTCTGCACACAAAAAGACAACTTTCCCCGGTCCCGAATTTCTTTCATGGTGTCTCCTTTAGAGAAGACACTAAGCTCGGTCACAAGCCTGTTTAAATAACAAAACAGTTCCATGTCGCGCTGCTCACCCACAAGGTACAAAATGTGGATTAATTTCGTCACCTAAATTTTTTGAACGCGTTCAGTGTTATCTGAGTGTCTGATAGCTGACTCGGTTGCATAGCCCTGTCATTTTGCATGTTTACAGTCAAGATAACGTCCTCCATGTCGGTCTGAGGAATGCTGTTTTAATTAGCAGCTGGCAGGACTCCAAGACCTGCAAAGACCTCCATACGTGACGTAGTTTTGCCGGGTGACGCTCACTTTGTTCAAATGGACAATGAGTTGGCGGTATATTGTCAGGAAATTTTCGTCCTGGTCATCTTGTACCCCTCAGCCTGCTACTAGTCTAGGCGCTGCTACAGAGGTGTTCCACCAAACTGGTTAGTTGCACTGGATGTCCGAGGATCTACCTGGGTCAACAGACTTTTGGCTTTCTAACTGGGGGAGTTGCCTAAACCATGGCGCCTAACCATTCACAATAGGTCACGTGCAGCACAGATTTCTTTCATTCCGATACCATATCGAACCGCGTAGCACTCAGCTGCAGGCATGAACTGCGGGTGTGCTAGGTGTCCTAGATGCTTGGCTGCCATCCAAAGGGTTCATGAACTAGAGGCAACCACAAGGTTCCAGAACTCGCAATAACCTTACCATCCAGTATTTTGGAAAGTGCAACCGATGATACCATACCCGGCCTCTGCCTCTCGACTCCCCCTGTCTAGGCTTGGGCAACCTGGCAGTATCCCGGCCCTTGTGCAATTTTCGGGTGGCGTGGCAGTTAGGCACCGAAAGGGTGCTACAGCTGAACGATTTTATTTATTCCATCGATCCCTTCTAGTCTATTCCGATGCGTTTAAAATAGACCGAATTTCCGCCTTTTATTCACCTAGGTGGCTTTTAACGTTCCATCCTTGGTGTGGGTGGCTTTACTGGCACAAACTTGATGGAATCGCGGAATGTCGATTCGTGCCGTCTCTCCCAAACACGCCTTTAAGTGCGGTGGTTGTACGGGGACTGTACCCCATCCTCCGAAAGTTTACTGTAAAAAGGCTTGCAAAGCACAATTTTCTTGAAGAAATCGTGCCTTAGTTGGAGTGTCAGTGTCGGAGTTATGTTACAGCAAATAAATCCGCTAGCCTCGATTCGCGACCAATTGATGGCGAACTTTCTACCGTGTAACTGGAAATCGCATTTACGAAAAAACACCTTTTCGCGAGCTGTTTCCATAGAAACTTTTGGTTGTCGATGGTTCAGATGTCTTCTTTCAGCAATATTTTAGTCCCACGCCAGGTCGCGGAGAAACTTGACCTTATCGCGACCCATTTATCCATATTAGCGGGAGTCTGTGCGACACTCCCAGAGTCTCTCATACCAGGTTGATCAATAGTTAGAGGTCTGACGAACACACACTCTTGGTCCTCCAGATTGGGGGCTGCAAGGTGTGGCGACTTGTTTTGTAAAAATTGAATTGCACTTCCATTTCCAGTCTTTTGAGCCAAAGGCTTGGGTCGAGGACCCCATCCAAGCTACAATCATGATTTACACATACAAGTAAACTCATGTCACATTGGCCGTCATGTGATGCCATTAGCCGCGTCACCTCGCTAGCTGCGTACATCAAGGCGGGTAGGTGAAAACAGGTTTTACAAGCAACAACTGCGCGCCATCCGGCGCCGACATTCTTCGGCATCTCGAAATCAATCGTCGAGTTTCAAAGCCCAGTTTATTTGAATGTGTTTAATGTCATCATTCTGAAGCGAACATGACAATAAGCTGCTCTTGTTCTCACACTGGACTCGCTTGGCAGTGATGTGTGCTGTGTATCAAAAAGAAAAATTCAAGATGCAAACACTGGCTGCGCTAATCGTGGCATCACTGTCCACTCGCTTCCGGCTGCCCACCTATGGCAATCCAGAGGCTGCTGTGGTAGGATGTGCAGGGTTTGGTATCCTAAATCACCGAAGCCATTGATACTGGCCCCTGTGCGGTTCGTCTGGCAACGTCTGTGAAGTAATGTCACAAACGGCAAGTTGATCGATGTCGATTTGTCACTTCTGCTTACGCCCCACCTGCCTGTAGTTTTGACATTATCAAAGACAAGTTTTATGGCGCCCTGAATGCCCTCTGGCGGATAGCTAAAAGCTTAGATATACTTGTGAGATTTGAATGCCGAAGTGGGCAGGTTTAGCGCATCTGAGACTCAATTGGGTGGTCGACATGGATCGGGTGTGGTACGTGCGGATAATGGTGAATGATTCGTCTGTGTGCTTACTGCAGGCTGTTTTCGTACAGTAGCAACTTCTGAGACAGCCGAATTCGTTTGGCCACTTGGTGTCTTTTAAACGGTGTGCCGACTACGAACTCACATCGCCATCAATTACCGATAGCGTGCATCGCTATCCGAATACTGATTGTTTTAAAACACATTTGTGGATTTTGACCACACACTCGTTCGGAGTCGCTTCTCTCCTCGTCTCGCATGGCCACGTAAGGTGCGGACAAATCGCTCAGCAAATAAGAGACTAGCAGATCCGGATGTTAGACGAATTTACCTGGATCGTCTTTCATGGTCACTTCCAACTGCTCCACCGTCATATGTGAATTCCTACTGGGTCGAGATCGTCACCCCTTTTCGCAATGCTTGGAGTTTTGCCTGTAGCACGGTGCTGCCAGGCCCACTCAAGCACTGGATATCAGACCATACAGTGACACTGCTTAAATCCAGAAGTATCCCCTTCTGTCCCGAACATATCTTGGCCCGATGAATTATCAGACGGGTGAAGTCTTCAGCCAGTGCTTGTTTGATCTCTTAACTACGTTTAGGAAAGGGAGACTGTCCCAAACAACTGGGGATGATCGGTGGTAGTGACAATTTTTAACAAAGGGGCTCGTAGCGAGTGTGATAGCCCCAGGGGATCAGCTTAATGTGGTCGTAATGAGACTTGGCGTTACTTGTGCTTCGTCACCTTATGGTGTCTCGTGAAGTACTGACTCGAGGTCAGCAGACGGGATTCCAGTCCGGCAGGGGTTGCGTTGATTAAGTCTTCGCACTCCTTCAGGTGCTGGAACAAAGTCATACGTACAAACAACCCACGATTTTAGTATTTCTGGATTTCCAGGGCGCATTCGACTCTATTGACCGGTATGTTCTTCTTGACATGATTGCCTATCAGGGATAGCTCATCGAGAGAGCTCAGTAGTTAGGGTTCCAACGTAAGGGTCTGAAGATCTGTGGTTCGAATCCAACCTCAGCATCTCAACTGCTCCTGTCTAGGCTTGGGCAACCTGGTAATATTGTATCCATTTTGAATTTTTCCGGTGACATAGCATCTAGGTACTGTAAGGCTGCTGCAGCGGAACGATTTTTTTAATCAAGGAATATCCGGGAAGTTTATGAACATACTAAGTTCTTTGTATTGTTAGACATCCGGGCGTGTGAGAGTATATGGAGAGCTCTTCAAAAGCTTCCATACGCAAAGCGGTGTCCGTCACTGATGCCCACTCTCCCTATTCCTATCTAATTTCGTGATCAGCGAGTTAATGAAACACGCTGGAAAGTCTTCAAACCCCTTTGACGAAAACCTGGAATATGCGAACTACATCGCTCTCGTCTTCGAAAAGGATAAGGCGCAGGTGTTTCTGGATGGATTGATCAAAGTCATCTGTCCTTTGGTGTGCAATTTTCACCCACAAAGGTCATGCTTCTGAACATGCCATCACTGAACACGCCGGTTGCAATCTAGGAAGAGGCACTGGAAGTTATGGAGGGCTTGATTAGTTCTGATTGTAGTGTTTCAGATAAGGTCAATGCACGAGTCTGTGAGGCTCGGGTGGCGCTTGCTAATTTGAGACATCTATGGCGTTAAAGTGGTGTATCCCTGAATCTCCAAGTGCGTGTGTATCTAGGTACAGTGCGGGCTGTTTTGTATGGCTGAGACTTGTTCTGTTCGCTCAGCGGAACTGAGACTTCTTCAGTTATCCAACCATCGTTGCTTCAGAACCATGGCTCATGTGAATTGTTGTCAGCGAATCTGTAACGAGGCAGTAGAGAGACTGTTTTTGGTTGTGCTACTGGGACTTCCAGAAGCTGCGTTGACCTCGCCACGTGTTGCGTATGCTGAAGAGAGTACTGTTTTCCGTAACCAATTCAGAGTGGCTGAAGCACGGAACTGACCAACCCTTTACCTGGCGGGGGGCGGTATAAAAGAAACGTCTGGGTGCGTTCGGTGCTACTCGCCTCCTAGGATGGATACCGCGTGATTCCCACTACACCTTGTTTGAAACGCTGCAGAGTATGGTTGCTAATCGATGTCACTGGCGTTCTTGTTACTACTTTTATCCGGATTGCCTGAATGAGGCATGGGCGTCTCGGAATGATTGCGTAGGTTAGCACTAAGTCCCTTCCCCATTCACATTTATTCTTTTCTTCACAAGACCAATTGCGTTTCCGTGTGAAGACAAAGCAGCTCGGCTTCTAGTCACAGTAGCTAGTGAGCGATAGGTGTCCTCGGATACAGGGAACAATTGGTGTTGACAACTTACCATCATTGATATTTACAAATAAATGACGATTTCAGACTTTGATTTTATTCACCCAATAGTGCGGATGCAAAATCCTCGGACCACATGTGTTAGTTGCTTACGAAAGTTTCTCTCCAGCAAACAGTTTTCCTCAGTTTTCCAGTTTACAACTACGCTCAATGCCTCTTGGTCATTCCGTACCACACAATCAAACTCCATCCCTGTACTCCCACCTAATCCATTCTGATGAAATAGTGACGGCACACACAGAGCTAACCGTGTCCCACTCCTAACAAAACTTGTAACAACGACGTGTGTATTTGCCTAGGAGGGAAATGTGAACTTCTGCATTATCCCGACTGGTTTCAACCTCTGAAAAATACTTCGCATAGTGAACCCAGTTAACTGATAGTTTACGTTCACAATTTTGCCCGATGTTTATCGGAAGATCTCACAATGTTACTTTGAAATAGTTATATTGCCTACAACCTAACTACATTCACACTTCCAGCGTTCTAACAATCTGTTTTACATTTTATTGTCTTGTGATGCAACCTGCACGTTTCGAATTACTCTCCGGATAAACAGCTATCGCTGCCACGAAGTATCAATTGCCCTTTCCACCACAAAGTCTATCTTCCACCAACCTAGCTTACTATCCTGTCTTTGCGCATATTGCTGGACCAGATGGTCGATCAGACACCTATTTCTCACCTACTTTGTCTTGCTTGTAGTTGTCTCTTCGAAGGTGAAGTCAAGATTCGGCGGAAGAAGGGCTGTTTGTAGAACCTTTTATCTCCTCTCCCTCTAAGATGGCTCAGTAGTTAGAGCGCAAATTTACTGACCGGAAGGTCCGTGCGTCGAACCCGACCTCCGCCTCTCGATTCCCCCTGTCTAGGCTTGAGCAGCCTGGCAGTATCCCCGCCCTCATGGTTACTCCCTCGTGCAACGGAAGGGGTGCTAAAGCTGAAATTTTTTTTCTCCCCCTCTTAGGTCCTAACCGCCGGGACTCGCAGTTCAGCTGTGTCTGTTTGCATAGTGATCGAAACCCAGCTGAACGGAAGGCTAATCTGCAAAAGTTCAAGGTTAGTGTGCCATCCTCTAGATTCGTACTCGAATGTCCCTGTGCGTTCCAATGTGGATTTCGCAATCGATCCCGCCTTTTTTCATAAAATCTGTTTGATGGGACCTGGACTAAACTTGATATTTCATGTTGTGCTTTGTCAATTATTTTTTTTATCAATAACCCACTAGCGTGAGAGTCATGCACATATGTATACTTCCATTTCTCATTTGTCAATTGACATCTACGTTTACTATACCAGTCGATCCTCGATACCTCATTAATAAATATTGGTACTTAACTGTTGTATAACCGTTAGAAGAATGCCTTAGTAAGCAGTGAAATTTCGTCCGAGTAAGCAGTTAGTGGGATTGACCCAGCATACAACAGAAACCAACTCCGGCTCGTTAGCCGGACCAGAGCTCTCTGCCAGGGTCGTGTTAATGTCACGGGGGTTTTAACCGCGTACTTGGAGAATCGCGTGAAATCCAAACAAGGGAGCGCGAATAAGCTGCATCACTGAGTCTGACAGTAGCTGCATCCATTTCGGGTTGCCAGTTCATGGCCTGTCCTACACCAGCCTTTCGCCAACAACGGTTCGGAGCAGTAAACAGTAGTTTCTTTGTTATACGGCGTTTAGGGTTGCGTTGTACATGTCCATCGTACTCATCCTAATCTTTAGTTGCTGCATTACCTATTATGGTTCATTACCCAATACTTGCCTATGCGCCACATGACAATATCGTCCGTGTAACACAAGCCTATTAGTCCATCTGTATGTGCCATTTCGGTGCCGAGGTTTTTAATCCCTCAAAATGTGACAAGATTTAATTGAAAAGGAGAACGAGAGAAACAGTCTTGCAACTTATTGGTTGTAGGAAAACATTTGGGCAGCCCGCTGTAAGCTCTCACATAACTTACGAACTTTGGGAGCATTCCTCTCAACAAGGAGAACGAAAATCATCGGCCGTTGATATGTATGACGTAGCTCAAGCATTAGACGTAGTATAATGGTCACCTACCCAAACGAGACCCTGCTTAATGTTCTTGTATTTGTCTCACTTGCTGGAGTTAGGCGGCTGAATTCAGTAGTCCCACCATGACAGGTTGTAGTTGAAACAGTCGTATCCTATGCTGTTCTTGAATGGAATTGTGCTGTTTGATTGGCCTTAGTTGTCTGCAATACGTCCGTGTTCCTAAATATGTCTAAACAGTCTAGTTATGACAGAACAAAGACTCGCCACCGTCCTTAAGTAGTGCCGCTGGTTATTCCATGTATTTGGCACTCTATCCGGCACGAAACTTGATTGTTGTGGTAGTTTACCACCACTTTCTGGCTACGCTTCGAAATGAGTGTTCTTTTTGAGGATGCTGACGTCCATATTTCCGTGTGTCGTAGAATTACACCTTACCTCAAGGCTAATTTTGATGCTGGATTTAGTCATGGGACTCACCTGAACTACATAGCACTGTTGTACTGACAGGTGTCCCAAAAGCAACGACACTGTTTTTGCAGGGTGCGAATTTACTGGCAGTTGGCGCGGTTGGACATTGAAGAGTTTCTAGCATAGTCAAATCCACAAAATCGCTAGAGAAGCGCTATTTTGTGACTATTATGGCTGGTTTCAAGACGGCAAAGATGCCCACTATTGTAATGGGTATGCCATTCTGCGGAACTGTTATCCGTCAGTCGTATGGAAGATCACTGACAATCAGTCGTCATTTCTGGATACGAATCCATATATATACTGAACGTACAGTTCTTCATCTAGTCTTGCATGCACACAAGTTAATGGGTGGACATGCGACGAATCTCCATGATGTGAAACTTATTCAGTGCAGCTGATCGTTGATTCGTATTAACTCCTGTTGATCAGCGCTGAGAGTGTATGTTTGTATATAGGCCTCATGCTGGTACGCGGTAGCTGTCAACTGGATTTTTGACAACCCATCCATGATGACGGTCCCTCCCAAGTGGATAAATAAGCAGGCTTCATTTTATCCCTTTCCTTCAGGCATTAAAAAGCCATTGAAGATTTCCAACTCCTATGAAGAAGAATTGATAAATCGTCGTAGAGGTAGGGCCAAAGGGCGCCTCGAACACTGGGGCTACTAGGTCCGTGTCACGATAGCTTCATTTTATGTGCCCTCACTTATTTCCAGTCCGAATGGGGTGTTTTTTGGTAATGGTATTGTGAGGTCATCGCAAAGGCTCCTAAATTTCTAACAATACAAGTGCAAGTCTGTTAGGCTTATCGCATCTCAGTACCAAAACTCGTTTCTCGTGGAACTCCGGTTTGTGTAGTCCGGAAAGGCCATCCTTCAAACAAGTTTTTCTTTGGTTGAATTGCTAGTCCTCTTTTTTTGGCCAGCCGTTCGAAATAGCATGGGTCCATTTCCCGCAACACAATTCTTTTCGGGCCTCCGAACTTCCACTAATCGCCAGCGTTATATGTCCGCCCTCTGACATCAGTATTTTGGAGACCTATCTTCGACTACTATGACGCTTTTTTCCCGGCAGCTGATGTGTTGTTACTGTTTAGATTCGAGACTATGAGCATTGCCCCCCTATGTGTTTTAACACTTTCAGTCCGAGCGGTCATCACCAAACCAGTGGTGCTTTGGTACCAGACACTTCTATGTGGTAGGTTGGCATTGCTTTGCATAGCTCTGTCCACGGTAACTGAAATAAAGGGGATGTTTTGGTGTAACTGACATGAAATTGCGTCTTTGACTGTTTCGTACTTGTTAGTCTTCTGGACACTAGTCCAAGCGCTTGAGTTTAAGATCGCTTAAGGCTGGAAACAGGCGATGACAAGCACGTAAGTACGGATGTCACACTCAGTCAATTTTTATGTCCAACATATGGCATTCGGTAACTTATTTGACATTAAAAGAAAATCCGTAACACGTATAAGACTCGTAATGAGCTACCGTTTTTTTCAGCATGGGTCGATTCTGCACTCCAGCGCCATTTATTCTATCAACACCGGAGGCCAACTATTTAATCGTACTCAAGTTCGCCAAGCTCATCTATTTTCAGAGTTGGTCTTAGGTCTACGCGCTGAACTTTCTGTGTCCGGCTAATCGCGTACTGTTATGAAAACGTCTTTCCGGTGCATTACTAGCCATCCGTGGGCTATGATACTTGAAAAGCAGTTAACACTCACTGTTAGTACTCGTGTATGCTTGGAAAGTACGTCTGTGATAGATGACAGGCAACTAGTTGGTCAAACAGTCAGGACAACGCCTACAGAACAACACATTGGCATCTATGTTCTTCGCGGAAGTAGGGTTCGGCTCAAATTTTCTGAGGTATTTATTTTTCTCATGCGCTCTAATAATGTTATGGGACTTCTCAGTGCACAGTAATCCAACGGTGAGTCATTTGGTTGAGTCATCTATGCTGTTTTCCTGAAAATTTTCCCACGACGGCCGGCCGTATTCCATCTGTCCTGTCTGCGGATTGCTACGCAGACCGATGGTACTACTTCTCAGGTTATACCGATGTTTGTCCCTCCAGCTTTATCGTTTGTGCATCCTCCATCTTCTTTTTCTATAGAATGGTGATGTTCGATTTCTGATCTGTACCGATGTGGCTGCTCGTGGGATCGATATTGCCGGTCTACCTTACGGTATGTCATTGTTGTCCTCTTCCGGGTTCCCGGGTCCCTGTTTTAAATCTACTTCACCCCATTTAAAATTTCAAGTGACCTATTTGTTTTTTAGCCTTACAACTTTCACATAATTACCGATACTCATCTCGAAGATTTTCAAAATGACAAACCAGATTGCCAAACCTTACTTAGTGCTTATTCATGTGCTGTGAACGATGTGTTGACTTTATTAGCATCACGCATTTTGCCTTCGCGCATGCCTTAGGGTTACAGCAATTCTGTCATCAGCGATGACCGCTTCTAATCCTGCTATTCCCCACCTTCCCCGAATTCCAAAACTCTCCCCTCAAAATAGTATGGGCAGAAGTCTTTTAACTTTATCATCATTCGACTTTCGGATGACGTCCTGACCAGTGCATCAAGTGTTTTCGAGCACCCACTACTAAGCAACAGGGAATGTGATTATAAGAATAATTCCTAGAGTTCACCGGTCAGACTTTGCACCCGGAAAACCAGTCGAGACGACCGTTAGTGTGACCGCATTATGATCTGTACATTTTTCTGGGAAACCATCATCGGGAGAGTTCTTTTCTGGCATCGTCATGTGTATTCACTTCGTGACTAGTTTGTCTATAGATTGGTTAATCCATATGAGTTACCTGGCATGCCTGTTGTACTGATGGTGCCAAATTGATAGACTTGCTCCGTGGACCACCTAGTGACACAACTCGGTCTATACTGTTATCCGTATAACCAGGCATTCGGTGTCCACGTACGTTTTTTACGTCCTGATTCCCTCATCACTTTTCAGTGCTGCTTGTATAGATCATCAGGTTAGATTTTCAGGCGTCAGGTCATAAATAATCGATGAGCTTATCCTAAATAGTCACTGTGAGCTCCGACTCTAACCAGAGTAAAACGGATAGCTATGAATGGATCAGTCGCATAGTTCTTTGCGTGGCAATTTACAAATCATCAGGTCTCTGCTAGTCCTTCGCAAATGACTATGGGCGTGCACTGGTATTTTAATCTGTTCTGAACGCCTTTCCCAGCTCTACCTGTTGCTTTCTGGTTACAACTGGTTTCGCAAACGTCTGAAATATACGTTCGATCACAGTGGTGTTATGGTTTACAATATCCATGTCATAGTCAATATCTCTTACTTAGGCCTTTCTAATGTACTTTTTGTTTTGTTCTGTGGGCATTTAGACCACCTTAAGGTCACTGGTGACAGAAAATTAATACACGATATGAAAATCCTCGTTTGAGTCCTTTCAACTGGTATTTTCGGGGATTCCCAGGATCTGACGACGATAAAGAGTCAACCAAAACATCTTTGGTTGATCACCCAAGCCGACGGTTAACTATGTTAAAAGCAATCCACATTATCGATCCAATTTTTTTTCTCGTCCTCAAGTGTGATTCCTTTGTTTTGTTATTCCGTCCCTGCAGTGGTATGACGGTTTGTGTGCCTCTCTGACCCATTGAACTATATTGGGTGGTGTTTGTGCCGCAGTCTCCCATACCATGTTGGTCAATGTTTAGATATCTGATCAGCACAGTCTTCTGCGCCTCCAGATTGGTGGTTAGAACATATGTAGTGGCTTGTATAAAAATATTAATGCATTTGCATTCCCCGCCAAATACGGTTGCCTTGCGGACAGGCTTTTGAGTCAAGGGCTTTAATCGAGGATCCAAATGGTCCTTCTGTCTAGGTCTGGACGCCCTGACATCATGTATCACATTGTGTCATCACCCGGGTCGCTATACTGGCTACATACAGCAGGGCGGATAAGCGAAAACAGACTACTGCTGACGGATCCCCTCTACCATAACTCACTCCGCCCAAATTGTAGTACTCTTTCCTCGGGTCCCAGCACTAGAATTTACCGGTTTGTTCACCGTGCGTCACATTCAGTTGTAACTTCTGTACTTCCGGCTTGAGTAACAAACTTAAATACTTCGAATCTTTTTCGCATCATAGAAACTGTCTTCAATGTTCGCAGAGTGGAGCAAGCAGGACAACAGGTCGCTCTTGATTGTGTGCTTACTCCCTCTGTATTGTTGTATGCTGTCTGTCAAAAACAAGAATACAGGACGCAAGTAGCGTAAATTGAACTGACTGCTCCATCGCTCTCTTCTAGGTTCCGGCTGCGCACCTCTGGTGATGTAGAGGCTACTGCAGCTAGATATGCCAGGGTGCGTATTTTATTGAGCGACCGAGCGAAAGCTTCTCCCTTTCTCTCTCTCCCTCTACCTGTTGATAGCCACCTCTGCGCGGTTTGTTTGACATCAGTGAGAGGAGCTAGAGAAAGTGAGATTTATCGCACCTTGTTCATTGTGTCTGCCTACGCCCCAACTGACTGTAGCTGTGAATCTGTCAAGGTCAGTTTCTATGACGTTCTAGGTGTCCTTCTACAGCGTCAGACGTCGTTGTGCATGGTGGTGACATAAACGCCTATTTGGGTAGACAAAGCTCTGCTGAGGTCTAATTAGGAGGTCGTCTTGCGTTGGATACCAGGCATACGGACAACGGAAAGCGCCTGCTTCAAATATGTGTGCCGATCACATACTGTTTCTGTGCAGTACCAATTTCCGTAACTGCTTAAATCCCTTGAGGTCGTGGTGCCCACCAATGAACATCCCCGAATACAAATAGACCACGCCTCTGTCAGTTACGGGTGGCAAAGTTCGATCACTACCTGTCGCTCTTTCCGGAATACCAGCGTGGATTCCCACCATGCACTTGTGCGGTGTTGCTTTTCTGGTCCGCAAAACCTACAAATCTCGCTTGGCCGTTAAGGAGCTAGTTGACCCAGAACCTATCAGAACGGACTCCTCGGACAGCTGCCGGACGATCTGATGTTGGATACCAACGGCCACTAGGAACAAATATACACAGCGTCACTCAATGTTATCGGTACAACCCAAACAACCTCATTCAAACAATAGATTTTTTATAGGACTGTGGCTTTGCTGGAGGCTCGGCGACAGATTCCTTCCGGCCGCAGTCACAACTCAACTCGATACATCCGACGACAGTTAAGACTGAGTATCCGTGCTAACCGAGAGGCTTGGTGGATCCGAGAGGCGGAAGAAATGGAAGGTGCGGATTGTGCTAGAAACATCCGCAGTTTGTTCCACTTGATTCGTTCTACTGGTCCCTGGAAGCCTCTTTTCAGCGAAATTATCAGGGATCAGAATGGCTCTCATATCCAGCAAACTCGAACTCTTGGACTGTTGGATGCAACGCTACGAACAATTCCGTTGGCCATCTGCTACCTCAAATCCGGACTGTGAATCATTAGCACCATACAGCCTCAGAAGCGTCTGAGTGGATATCTCTGCTCAAGTTTCGTCGTGCTCCTGGTCCTGATGACCTTTCACTGGTACCTGTCTAGCCTATTTCAGTCCCTGTGGGCCAAAGGGACCGCCCCAGGTAACTCGGGTGAGCCGACAATAGTACCCATTTTCAAAAGGAGTAGTAAACTCTTTGTAGTAGGGATTTTAGCGTCACTGATTTTTCGTCTTCTTACGGCGGCATGCGAAAACTTGACCCGAAATTACCAAGATGGATTATGACGAGGTAGGGGCTGTGTTGACCACTTCTTCACACTCCTTCCGACAGTTAAGCAATGCCATATGTACGGGTGGCTCACAATTTTGGTGTTCCTTGGGTCCGTGGACGTGTTCACCTCTGTCGATTGGCCAGTGCTCTTAACTACGCTTGCTCATCAGGGGACGTTGCAGAAGTTTGTGAAGAATATCCAGTCCTTACGTTCACATACTTCGGAGCGTGTGAGTGTAAGGTGAGCTCTCTTAAAGCTTCCGTAAAAGGTGGTGTTCGGCAAGAGTGCCCACCCTCAACTTTGTCATTGGTGAAATAACGAGGTTAACGCTGGAAGATATTCAAAACCTTGGCGTTCAGATCGTTCTCGACGTCGTCCTCATCTTTTGAGACGAGGCCGAATCACAATCTTCGTTGAATAAACTGACCACCATCTTACAATCTTTCGGCATGCCCTTGAACCTTCAAAGTGAGAAATCATGCTTCAGAACGGGCAGTCTCCAAGCATACCCGTTGCGATTCAAAGAGGTACACTAGAGGTTATCCTTAATTTTACATAACTTGCGCAAACGTGTGTTTGATGAAGTCAGCCCACGAACCTCATGCTTGTGAATCACGTTTGCTCAGTTGCTTCACTTATGGCCTGGAAAATACGTACATCTGGATCTCACGGGTCGCGTGTACCAAACTACAGTAAGGGCTGTATTGTTGTATGATTGCGGGAGATGGTCTCTGCGGACAAATGGTGTGAGCTGTCTTCGGGCTTTTGACCACAGATGCCTCAGAAGTGACTGCTGTTGGGTAGTGTCAACAGATTCGTAACGAGATAACTAGAAAACGGGTGCTTCAATCTCGGAAAACATCCAGCACCACCAATTACGGCGGCTCGACCATATGCTACGCATGCTGAAATATCGTCTACTGAGACGAGTGTTGGCCTCCGTGCCTCTTTCAGAATGGCACAAACCGCGAGGCTGCTGTTTCACTTGACATAGTAGTGTGGAAGAGATTCCGGATAGTTTCGATGTTGTTGGTGCGGTCAGCCCTGTAGGCTGAGGTCCTTGTAACTTTTCCTGCCCTTGGCTGGAGACATTGCAAGAAATGGCGGCTGGTCGATGTTAGTGGCGTTCGTGATGTCATTTTCTTTCCAGGCTTTCTGACAAAGTGCTAGGAGATGGTTGTACCAGGCACAAGAGTTATTGTGACTTGTTGGGACCAGCGGGCACCAGTACACTTCACTCGACCAAGCTGATCGGCATTATGCTGGGTGAGGTTTGCGTGCCGGCAATGTTGACTCAGGTCAATCGTCGTCGAAAGAGAGCAGGAAGAATCGGCGTAGACCAGTTGGGCGACCATGTCCGTACCAATACTTTCATTGTCGTGAACTCGCTATTGGGCTACCAAGCCAGCTTTCGATTTGCAGCACTTGCCACATTCCTCACACGTGAACCCCATGGGTCTCCCCTGTGCACTGGTTGGAACTGGTGCCTCGGCGCCAGATGATTCGTAGTGTACACTGTCGAAAGTAACCAATACATTGAAACCAAACAGGGTGATTAGCTCTGTCTGGAGTTGCTGAGTTCTTAGCTCACCCAGACTGACGTCCACCCACGAGGAGGTGGTTCAGCTTGCCGCAGCTTTCCCCCTAATCACTAGGAATTTGGAGAAAATTGAGCTTTATTTCGAGCCATAGAAATTTTTGGTGATTACATATCCACAGGCAGTTTCTCAAACTTCACTAACACGGATGAATATATTGCATTCTGTGAACAAAAACCGGTCGCCGTTGGTTTAAAAGGAGCAAATCGAAGATCATTCATTCGCGCATTGATGGTTTTTTCTCGATTGGTGACAGAACGTTTGCAAACCAATTGGCAAGCTCTGTGAACAGATCAGGCGCACCCAACCTACTAATGTTTTCGATGCATTGTCCATAGTTATCCGTTTCAAGCTCATGTGACGTTTTTACATGCTGACTCTTTTTTGGGAAATGCGCGCACACTGCGTGCAGTCGCATGAAGTAGTCAGGCAGTTGAAGCTCTCTGAAAATACAGAATCACACGTTTGACACCTACGTTCTGCACAAGCGCAAGAAGTCATGACTTCATTCGTGGTAGTTGGACCTGCTAGACAGGGGTCTAAGTTCCGAAACTTATTCAGATTACACTGTTTTTTGCACTGGACGTCTCGTGGAAGTAAAATAAAAACGCATGGCTGCTCTTTTAAAGATTGGGCTACCGAAGGAGGATAGACAGAACATATGTTCACGGGTCTACTCGGACACAACCAGACTACCTCAAAAAAGAGAGTCCTTTGGGCCTTTCTTCATTGCCCCCGTAGAGGAGGTTATATTTTATTTCGCATTGAGCAGCACCCAGCTACCAAGTACTTATACGATGCTGTAGAAGTACTTGGTCGTAACTTAGCCTTCCGGCTGCCTCGATCGGCTGCAGAATTTGTCTTGCTTTCTGTTCGATATGCTTAGTTTGCATATGTCTTTTTGATAGTGTAAATTATTAGCTTATGGTGGTTCATACGTCTTTTGTTCTCGCATATTTTTGTCTTTAGTGATCAATGTCACCTTGCCGGATGAAAAAGAAAATTATGTCCATCGAATTGGTCGCGTTGGCCGTGCCGAACGGTAAGGGCTTCGCATCAATTTCAGCCCTCTAACTTACCCTCCATGCAGACAACTTCCTTTGCGTCAGTTTATTTTTGTCCTCACCCTGTCGCGGCGCTCCTGTTCAATTCAAAACTATACCATCGTTGTTTCCCTCGCCGAAGAGTAGTGGAAGGTGTGCCTCACAGCAGGAGTGCAACACAAACATGTCTGTTAGTGTCATTCACAATGCACATCCGAACCAACTGCTAACCCGTCCAGGACGGGCAGTTCTTCCACTCATTTCCATTCCTAATCTCATCTAACGCACAGACCAAATAATGCCCTTTGGGACGAACAGTGG